TACATGCCCTGCGACTTATCGGCCGAAGCGACATATCTATGGATTTTTGTACTATATTTATAAACCAATTTTTGGCTGAGATATGACGGTTTTCATTCATTCTGACTGATTTTTTTTACAGTACCACTTTCAGCCACTTGATGGCAGCAGAGTAGTAGTATGGCATGCTGTTGTAGCATATAATAGGTAAATGTGGCTTTAATGACAAATTCTAAAAAAGTTAAAGACAAAAACAACTGGACTTTATTTATTATACTTTATACATTATTGTTTTTTTTCTTGAACTTTTTTGAATTTACCATGTCCTGGATGACAGAATCTTCACCAGCTTTTAATGATTTAATCGGCCTGCCACAGTCTGGCCACCTTGGTTCTACTCGCTGCTTGGACCAACCAGCTGAACCGCCCCGGGGAAATACAGCTAATTTGACCATTAAAGTGCATTTTTTAAGCAAACGTTCAACTGAGACACACCTTTGCTATAATTTCGAGCAAACAAATAATTGTTTAAGTGCTTTTCTTGTGAAATTTCGAAGAAACGAGCCGCGTTCCTCCTTCCTGATTTCCTCCCTCTGTGCACTCTCGGACCACTGAGGCAGCGAAACCATTTTTGAAATTAAGCTAATTTGACCATTAAAGTGCATTTACAAACGATAGACTGAGAAACACATTTACTATAATTTTGAGCAAACAAATATTTGTTTTTAAGTGTTAATCTAGTGTAAGTGTTAATCTAGTTAAGTGACTCATAATAGATACGATGTATACGATGAAGCAACATATTTGTGGATTTTTCCACTTTATTAGACAAATATGGACTGATGCGAATTATAAGGCGGAGAGACATGTACGGTGGAAAATACGGTATTTTCACAATATACATTTTCTTTAATGTCAATCCATTTTTATAAAGTTATACATTTTCCTTTTTTGTGACTTTCACAAACCAGTGTAGTCTCATGACATTCACGTCTTCAAAGGAACCTTTCAAGGCCAGCGAAACAAAGCTTTGTTCTACTTTCCTCTGCATCCATTTCCAATCATGGCCGATATCTCTGTTTTGGCACAGGCCAGGCAAAGAGTCCACAGAAACAAGTGCACACTGTGACAGAACGCTGTTTTCAGGTGGTGCCAGCAGGTTCTGATGATTGTGTTCCAGGACTTAAGTGCACAACGTGTGACACGCTCAAGAGGAAGAAAGGGAAATTTGATCCATCCATTTCTGATTAGTCTGTTCAACAATGAATCAGGTAAAAAAAAGAGATACTAAGAATGTCTAAACTCAGTGTTTCCCCTACCATTATTCAAGGAGGGTGTCCCGCCCTGTTAACAGAACCGAGCGCGCCACCTACCAACCCCACCCCCCGCCCCCGACAACTGCCGGCTAGGCCTGTCATGATAACAAATTTTGCTGGTCAATTAATTGTCTCAGAAATTATTGCAATAAACGAAAATATTGTTTGAAATTTGACAATAATTAGTAATTATTGTCGTATTTAAGAAGACATGTTTGTTAATTTGTTCTGTGTGTAGTACCTTTTTTAACCACCAGATGGCAGTATGACTGTTTGAACTGAAGGATGGATAGTGAGGGAGCGAGCAGCGTGTCTCTAAGAAAAATGGGAGGGAGGTCCCTTGACGTGACATGAGCTGTCTCTCCCTTTTTTTTTGGCTCTCAAAATGGCGGATGCTCGGTGTGGTTTGAGCTCTTTAGCATTTTTCATACAATGCTTTTAATAAAAATAAAAAAAATCAGTAAACAAGTTCTCAGCTTCTTTTTGCAGAGAAAAACAACTTTTTACACGAAGGCACAGGTTTCAACCGTGAATTTTGGAGCTTCAACAAGACGGAGGTTTTTTCCCCGAGGTCGGCCTGTTAGCTCATCTCGTAGCTTAGCTTCTCAGCTTAGCTGCTTTTAATGATCCAAAAACGCAATTTTGGACGATTAAAACAGATTTTAAAGAGAAAGGGAGGAGTCAGTGAAGAACACCGGAGTTGAGCCTTTTGTCATCCAGTATCTTCAGTAGAAAGAGAGAGAGACGAAGAAACAATAAAGCCGATAAATTAGGTCAATAATTTTCATTTATCATGTGATTAATTGATTTATTGTTTATTGTGACAGGCCTACTGCCGGCACTAATGCAGCTTTATTAAAGCTTTTAGGGGGAAAACCTGATAAACATTAGTTTTGGTGCAAGATATTCAAGTGGGTAGGAGTTACACTGTGGAGAAAAACAGAGGAACCAGTAGTTTTTTATTTCTTTATCCTGGCGAGTGGAGGTTCATTGGCGGAGCCAGGAGGTGACCATTGATGGCTAAGGCCACCTCCGATTAATCTTCAACCACCCCATTCATTTGAGGAACGTATACTGTTAAGCAATATTAATACTAGAAGCATGTTTTTCTGAAATGATAGAGGCCGACTTGCATATACCAGTGTTTCCCTAACCGTTATCCAAGAAGGGCACCTCGCCCTGTCAACAGAACAGAGTTTTGGTTGTTTTTACACCAACAAGCTCAATGTTGAAACACTGCAGAACAATTCTCAATTTACTGATTACTGTGAACCAGACTGTTAGTGGTGAGTGTTTGGTGTGAATGCAGCCTTCAGCTTCTGTAATCCAAAGCAGCAGATGAGTAGCCAGGCTGGGATTGGACTCAGTTAAACAGAACCCTGAACATACTACGAGTTGAAGATGTCAATTATGCTGCAGGAGGGATGTGAGAAATTTCTGAATTTAACCAGATTTTATTTCTATTTTCGTCGTGAAAACTAGGTCAGTGTCGCCGCAGGGACTGCTGTGAATCTTGACTGACAGTAAACTCTGGAGTCTGTAAAAAGGCCAACTTTGACAGCGATGCTCAACAGGGTGTAAGTGTTTGATACAGAAAATATCCATTTTAAAGTATCCCTGTATAAAAGTTTTAAGCTCTGCAGTAACAATAAGCAGACGTGCGTTTTAAGGATTTCTTTAGGAACCTTAAAAATCTCTTCAACTGTGCTACAAATATCCACTTTGCTTATGAAAGGTGAAATGATTTTTAAAAGCCAGGACTGATCGGAGCCTCTTAATGAGGACGTCGCTCTGGTTCATCATACTAAAGGAGGCAAAAAGTGAAGCTCTAATTGAATAGGGTTCAAGCGTCAGAGACTCACTGGAGGGATTATATATCCTCAGAGCTGAGAATGTCTTAGGTTTCCCAGGAGACGAACAGTAATTCTGTGTTTCCCTCCTTTGATCATGGATTAGCAAAAAAGGAGGATGGATACATTTTACTTTGCAATACATTTTTTTGTGTGTACAGTAGTCCCTCGCTACATCGTGGTTCGTTTATCGCGGACTCGCTCTATCGCGGTTTTTCAAAGTAAGATTGGACATGACACACAAATGGCTGATTGATGGATGAGCCGCATGATCGGCATGGACTTTATATTTACAATAAATTTTACATTATTTAGCACCTGCAGCACCTGTTGGAACCTGTTGTTCCTGTGTGCAGCTCACAGCTGCAGAAAAAAATCATCTGGTTCGTCTCTACTGTCTGTGTTGTCGGCCATTGTGGCAACGCTCTGCTCACACAAAGTTCCTCTTTGTCCTCACTTCCTGTTTCTGCGCATGCAAATGTCCGAACAGGTCATCAGGTTCATCTCAACAGAATGACATTTGTTTGTGCAATATGTTATTAAAAGGTAGCTTTCCAAATATGAACTTAAATTTATTACAAACATTTGATGTTGCAGATCCTTTAAAATGTTCAACATGAGTAACAACTTCTTCTAAAGTAACAGTTTTGTTATGGTTGGTTTTTGTTGTGTTTAGTTTACAGGAATAAGTTCATTTTCTTTTAAAGATTTAAAATGTCCTAAGTAATAAACTGATGTAAAGTTGGAAAACTCATTTTTCCTGCATTTCAAGATATTAAGTTTCCCTTACCATTATTCAAGAAGGGCATCCCACCCTGTCAAAAGACCCGAGCACCCTGCCTACCGAACTGTCCTCCCCCCATTTGACAACTGCGGGCACTAATGTTGAGCTAAGCTAGCCGCGCACAATATAGACGTGCTAGCTAAAAAGCTACAGAGGTAGCACTCCCATATATACATATGTATATATACGTATATATACATATGTATACACACGTATATATACGTATGTATACACACGTATATATACACACGTATATATACATATATATACATATGTATATATATACACACGTATATATACATATATATACATATGTATATATACGTATATATACATATGTATATATACATAT